TAAGCAGATTCCACTTAACTTTGTCCAGTTCCTGAACCTTGGGTGGCCACTCTAGTACTGTCAGACCAAGCTCAGGCACATGGTGTTGACACACGTATTTTCTCAGAGGCTCTGCACCTCTTTCAGTGCTAGGGGTGAAACTATTCCAGGAATGAATTAGGGTTAAATAGGGATGGGAACTTGGTGCTTTCATGAGGAGGCTGGAAGATGCAGAACGAATGTGTTATGGGCTAACAAGATAGACAGCTTGATGCTCATCACAGCTATCACAAAAAACATGAAATTGCATTTTCTCTTTCTGTGCTGAGTGGCGTTAGGTTATGTGATCTCCTTTTCCCTCACATGTTCACTAATATTCTTTCCAACATTATTTTTTTTTCTTTTCAAAAGCGTTGGTCAACTTCAGGTATAGTCACAGACAATGGGAGTTGTGCTTTAGACATATAAAACGTTACACGGTGTTGAAAGCATTCTGAAATATTGTCTCCCAGGTCATACAAAGCGGGTATTCAAAACTAACACGTGCTACTGATATAAAATCTCTCCATGAGTACTCCTGAGTTTACAGTCCTGCCTACAACAATGCTTAGGTGAAAGGCATGTGTCTCAACGTAAGAAAGCCATTGGGAAGTTTGGGGACTTGGGGTTTGGGGCATAACATCCCCTGAGTGTTTAAATCTGCTCAGTGTGGCTCTTCTGTGGTTTGGAGAACTAGGTAGGGAGCTCTGGTAGAAGTGTTGATTACTTTTACCCAGAAATGCTGTCAGCATGCTAACTGACTGCTTTGAATGTTTATCCAGACATGAGTTCTTCATCTTCCTCAGCCTCGGGTGCACACCTCCTCTCTGGGGACTGCTCCCACTTCTCTAGCCATGCAGATGGGAGGCACCTTGCAGGGCTCACCCTGAAGCTGGGTAAAGTGCAAGGCAAATGATGAAATCCTTCAAATGACTGAAGCAGCACAAAAACATAGTCTGGGACACTTGTTTTTTTTCCTGCTTTCTCTCACATACTCTCCTCATGTTGATTTTCAACTGTGTATTTTGTTTTCCTCTGTCCCTGCCCCTTCTCACTAGGCATTTTGCATTGTTCATGTTGAATAGATGTGATGGTTTTGAAACAAGCTTGTTCAGTCCCTGATTGAGCATGGGCTTTTCACTTAAGAGAAGAATTGCAGGAGAAAATGCTGAAGTTAGGGAGGTCTGGAACATAACCAAACAAATAGTTAGGTCAACATTTGCAAGACACAGACCACAATAGACACATGCACTGCATGGTCACATATTGCTTATGATGGTGCTAACTACGATGGTCTTAAAAGCTCTTTGTTTTCCTACTTCTCCATCTGGAGTCTGAACCCTGGGACTGAGAAAGGGCAGGTGGTGGTTTTGGGCTTTTTAGAACACAATCTGCTGGCTCAGCAAGGATTTGATAAATGACTCCCAAGAATAGTGAATTATTTGGTAATGGAAGTGAAGAGGACCAAGCTTCTATTCCTGTTCAGGTCATGCCACTGGAGCACTTGTCTGTGTATTATATTGTACTTTATTATGACAAGGAGTGATGAGGTCTGTTTGTGTATGCACAGTTCAGAGCCCTTCACCAAGGCATACTAAGTACAATAAACTTGTCATAGGGAGCACTTTTGTGATTTGTGACCTGTTTTTCCTTAGAAACATGTTTTCCAAATGTGAGATGAATGGGCTGAATGAGCTTAGGGAATAGCCTATACTGTTACAGTTGTTGTGAGCACATACTGAATCATTCCATTAAGTTTGCAAGCCAGCAACACCATCACCTCAAACATACAAAAGGGAAAACCATGAAAAAGCATGAAGTGCCTTGCTTTCCATGGTGGAGCTGTGTTGTGCTAGGAAGAGGCTGCACTAGTGTGGCGCTATCTAGCAGATAAAACCAGGAGTGCAAAACAGATGATAAATGGGATGGAACAATGAAGGGAGCTTAACCAGTTGTGTCCCTTTTTAATTAAATTCTGTATTTCTGATCTTGGAAAGGAGACACTCTTCCCTGGCAGATCTGGACTGAGCAGCTCAGTTGTTGCTGGGTAAATACCTCTGGTTTTAGGTTCCCCCAAGGTTTTGGGGCGTCAGACACAACACCGGAACTTCTGGTGCCAAAGGGCGCAGAAGAATTGTGACTTAGGTTTCATATAGATGTTCTTGCACCATGTTCAGCAGCAACTCTGGTTAGCAAAGCTTCTATGGCACCATTTGGCGCAGCTACATAGCACCCTGTATCAAAAAACGTGTAACGTTGTGGTGCCATGGCTATTTCCTCTGTCATCTGTAAACAGACTGTGACCAGGTACTTCCAAGGCATTATGACTTGGTTAACTGGCACTCCACAGGTGTAGTTTCAAAAGTAATTAGCTATGGATGGACTTGAAATGAAGAACAGGACACTTAATTTCAAATGAAGTTAGCTACTTTACACACACAAAGACCGGCACACATGAGAAGAGAGCTGTTCAGGGGAAATTTGCCTTCAAATCTGGGTTTGTTGCAGGTCAGAGTAAGGAGGCAGAGCCTTCTGTGTCAGTGGGAAAGAGTTTAAATGGCTGTGAAAGTGAAAATTTGGGCAGGAGAGATATGAAGATGGTGGTACGGTCAAACCAACAAATCAGGCTATGGTCTGAAGCAGCTGAATTTCAAAGTATTTGTTCTTCCTTGTGAGAAGAAGATAAGGAGACAACTTTTATTACTTCAGGAAGCCACCAGAGACTAAAATCTATTCCATGCCTTCGGTCTCTTAAGAAAAGTTATTATTAAACTATCAGAAGGATGTCAAAACTTATTCCTTGGCAGGCAGATACGCTATCAGTGCAGGGAAGGGGTATAGGGAAGAAAAATCTTGCTTTTGTTCACTCATGAAATTCCCTTGAATGAGGAACCCAGTTCAAGCCCTCTAGCCCCAGGCACATTGCTAATGATGATGGTAATTTTAACTGCCATCTTTGGTGTCAGGATTTTATGTCTGTAATAAATAAAAACCAATTCAAATATAAAGAATAGTTTATAATTAGGAAGGGATTTTATTTTTTTTTTTTCTTCTCTCTCGGAGTTTTATCAGTCTGTGAAAATCAATAATGAGAATTTTTTTTCTTCTCTCTCGGAGTTTTATCAGTCTGTGAAAATCAATAATGAGAATTTGGAGTTAATATTTGTTCTAAAGAGACAAAGACCAGTGCATTCCCTTAGCTTCCTTTAATAGCTGAAAACGGTGGGGGAAGGAAAATAAGCATATAGCTTAATAGGAAATCAAAACTGGTTTGTGAATGTGTGTCTAGTCTGATTTATTCATGACTGTGATACACATGTAAAATATGCTGGTGGTGCTACATAGTCAAAAAAGCAGCTTGCCAATGCTGTTAATTTACTATTTATTTCCTTTTAATCCCACTGGGTGTGACACAAATGTCCAAATACACCTATCATTTTGTTGGACTTTTCGTTAGCCCTACTGCAGCCCTGAAAGGTTATTTAAGTTTTTTGCATATGGGAATGACCAGATGTGAAGACTTTAGAATGGAAAAAGGTAATTTTATATGCTGACCTGACTTGACTTTGCTTTAAAACAAGAAGTCTTTTGTGTCTTAAAACAAGTCTTTTTTTTTTTCAGAATAAATGAAACCATATACAATTTTACCCTTTTAAAACCTCCTTTTCTTGAAGAGAAAATAAGAGTATTTTAATCACTGAGCTTTGCAGAAGTAAGTGCTGTCATGGGGTATGAGTGATGTGATAGGCTCCTCTGAGTAGTTTATGTATGACGCAAATGCATGATGCAGAGGATGTTGAGGAGCCTGGTGCAGTGTGTTTGGATTATATGTGCTTGCATCATGAAAAAGGGATCAGTGTCATGACACAGCACTTAATTAGGCCTAAAACAAATTGGTGATTTGGTCTGTGTTTCACAGGCAACATTTGTCTGTGGTCTACACAAACATGGCCATTTACTGAAATGATGTTGCTGCTGGATACGCTTTGTTTTGCTGGAGATGGGCACTGACTGCTTCCCACTCAGTTGAGCTAAAGAGAAAATCTCTTTTCTCATGGTACAGCTTCCAAAAAGCTCTTTCAAGTAATGACAACGATGTGATAACACAAGAGGTAATGGGTGAGCTGCAGAGCTAAGGGCTATTTTATTTCTGAAGTTTCTGAAGCCTGAGTGAAGACTCGGCCTGACATTTCATCAGAGGAGCCTGGGCTCCAGCTACCCCATAGCCAAACAGAAGGGTGCACCATGAAGGGAGAAACTACTTCTTGAGGACTACCTGTGGTCTGTTAGCCGATGAACCAGTCATGAAATTTAGGCAAGAATTGTCCAGAGACACATCATATCTTGTCAGTTATTGACTGAAAAAAATAGATGTGCCTTTGGGCACACAAGCCCTTCAGGTTAGAAACAGAGTTGAGAAATTGAAAGCTGATTCTACATTAGTTCTTCATGTGACATTTGTCATTTTGGACCTGAAGAACATCCTCCCTGATCAAAAGCACTTTTTTTTTTCCAACTGTCAGCAAGTCTTGCAAAATAACTGTTTTCTTCATGCATTTTGCCTTGGTTATGAACTCAGTGCATAATAAGAAAGGGTGAAATTTATAAGACTGTAAGAACTGTAGTCAACAAACAATTCAGGCCACATAGCCAAGACCTTGTTTTCAGTGTGTACATGTACCATCCACACCCAGCATGCTGATTACACTGCATACATGAGCTAAAGGAAGCTAGTTTTCTAGCTAGCCAAGTCCCATCAAATACATATGGAAACTATATGGGCCTCATAATGTATGTTCAAAGCACTCTTCAGATGTGCCTGGGCTGCCTAACAATGTTCAAGCAAAACAAGAGAAAAGGCAGGAAAAAAGCAGACTGGAAAACCTTCCCTAATTGTGAATGTTTTGACTAGATAAAGATACCACATGAGTATGAGGAGCAGACTTAGATCACATTTTCCTGGCTTCTGGTGGTTTTTGCAATGTATTAGGAAGATGTTGGTTTTATTTTCTTAGAGAGTAGCTGTGGCATGAAAGAGAGGAGTGGAAGCAATCACTAGATCACAGTGAGCCTTTCTAAAGGCCCCCAGTGGTGGGCTCCCCCACTGATGTCAACAGGATAGAACTGCAGACACTGGGCCTCCCTCATCCTTACAGATGTGTTGAGGAAACACTGGGAAGGATGAAAAGGGTGGCTTTACTGCAATACATAATGAGAGACCCAGGCATGTTTTGGAGGGTTTAGCAGTAGGCAAACACCAGTCATAATACTGGGATTAAAAGCAATCCTCACTGTATTTCTAACTGTCCATTGCAAAATGGTATGTTTAATGCTTTGCTTCTAGGGGCTGCAGAGAATGACTGCAGGTTATTTTATCTGTGAATAATGTGTTGTTTTCACAGGCAACATGAATTGTTTCAGATGGTGAATGTACTGAAAGAATAAAAGCCAAAGCCTTAGAGCACTAAGAGTAATTATTTCCTCTACCCCTCTCCAACTTCACCTCTTGGTGACAGTGTATTTCCATTGCTCGCTGGCTGTCGCTAAAGAGGCAGAAACGGCATTCATAGAACAGTAACATTGTTCCAAGAACACAGAAGTCATCCTTGGACTCCACTTTTTCTTTCCTCTTCCACTAACTGCATCTGCTCGTTTGCTTACCAGTCTCTCCAGCACATCAGACCTCCACGGTGATCCCATCTCTTATTCATGCTTTACTCATTTCCCAACATGGCTATTACTGCTTTTCAGTTTAGTCTTCCTAAATTCCTGCTTTGAATTTGAGGTCAGTAAGAGTGCAGATATGGATGAAAGTTAATATAACATTAATTGACAGCAAGTACATGCAAAGGTATAAAATATTCTGTGTATTCCAAGAACAACAAATCATGTTTCAAGCCTTACTGCATTAATTTACTATTAGTTGCATTGTTAAGCAGCAAATTTCTATTTGCATACAGTAAACAGATCGACACGCCAGGCTGGATGGGGCTTGGATCAACCTGGTCTGGTGGAAGGCGGCCCTGCCCACAGCAGGGTGTTGGAACTGGATGAGCTTTAAGGTCTCTTCTAACCCCCAACCATTGTAGGATTCTGTGACACATTTTTTCCAAGATTGCAAATCTGTGCCATTTTGGTAAATTTTAGCATGGTACACCTTTAATGAAGCAACAGCAATAGAGCTGAGCGCAACAGCTCAGGTCAGCTGACAGCTGACAGGAAGGGTTTGCAGATGAACTCCTTGCCAGCCATTCTGTCAATTCAGAAGATGGCTCAGGTCTCTATGAGTTGCAATCACAAGCATAAAATTCTGCAGACTGCACCCATCATGTGCCAAAGACAAGTCTGTACCTCTTCCTTCTGCATGTGCAACTTAGAAAGGAGAACACTTGACATTTTTCAAGTTGCATAATCTTGATTCAGGGTACACTGTCCTACTGAAAAATGCTCTTCTATAATCCGGTATTATCACTGTTCTCTTATTAGCAAATTAAAACAGACAGGATGCCTCCTCTTACCTACACTTTAAAGCCACAGCCTGTACCACCCTCACCTTTCATGAAAGGTGTGCAGTATCTACAGACAGGCAGTCTGCCAAATGCTAGAGCCACCATCCATGATGTTTAGATAAAAGGATGAAGTGCCAACATGGAAGTATTTTTCTATAGTAGTAGACACAACTATAGCAGACATTATATTTAATCACTATTCCATCCACTCCCCATGCAACTTCCATCCTCTACACAGGATGAGGTGTACAGACTTGTAAGCTCCTGTACTTCAGCTAGAATCTCCTCAGCCACACTTGATGGCTGTAATCTACTCTGTCAATTTATGTCAAATCCTGCAACTGTGCATCTGCTATTTCAGGCTTCTTTAGCACCTAAATCATCTGCTAGTAAACATTTAAATTCTCAGTCTAGGTCTCAGAGCAAAGACAGAGTGCAAGAAAAGGTTATTTTCCCTAACACCTTGTCGTGATTTAAACAGCAGCACTGTACCAGCTACTAAGGAGAAAAATGACTGCTACTGCTGAACCCAGGACACACCTCTTCTGACAGAGCCATATCTGAACTTATTCATTACTCTTTGAAAACGACACAGTTCAGCCTGTTTAAGCAGGATGACTTCCTTAAGGAGGAAGCTTTATTAAGTATGTTTGCCTGAAGCTATACTTTCCCCTTCTTTCTCACAGCATTTATACCATGGTCAAATGTCACAGTTTTCTTGGTTTCTTATGTCTCTTTTGCTTGAGAAACGGAAAGGAATGAAAGCAAAATGGCTTCTAACATGGGAAAACAGTATTTTCCTCATCTCTTAGTGTAAGCTGAGGTATCAGTCTCCTCAAAGACAGTATTTTGAAAAATAAAGAACTCATCCTGAGGCGAACACCTGCCTAAAGCAGTCATTCTGAAACAACAGAAGTTTGTCACAGTTTAAAGATCCTGTTTGCAGCTACTCTGACTAAAGGCAAGTGTTGAGCAGCTCAATCATAGATAACACATCTGCCTACACTCACTTTTTAACTCTTAGGTACAATTTAGGGCCGCTGAACTTGTATTGCCAGCAGCTACTGAGAATTGTGTTATTTACTTTGCTGCTAAAGTAGCACTGTTGAGCAACCATGCAGCTAGCACACCATGAACATCCCATAAATGTCATATAACGAGGAAAATAAAAACCATCCCAGACTAGAAAGTATCCATCAATAACCTGCATCTAGGACAAAATGAAGACCTGTATAAGAAATAACTTTCAAGTATGAACAGCAAGCAACAAATAGGAAGAGGCCTGTTTGCATGAACTTCAGTGATAAAATGCTCTGAACAGGAAAGGCTTTTGCAATACAATTTCAATAGTTTTCATAATTCTTAGAACTAAAAATTTCCTTGGGTTGTTTCACTGGTGTTCCTAGTTACAGCTAAACGTATCAGATTATTAAGAATTAATCTGGTAACTAGAACATCTTTGGATGAATTAGAAATGTGTGAAATACCATATAAACACTTTTATAACAAAGCCCCATAAATATTAACAACTAGAATATAATCGCTTAATACAGCTAGTTAACAGATGATTCTTTGCATATTTTGAACATGTATACACCCCAGAGTCAAACCCAAAGACTCCTCAGAAATTTCCCTCATCTCGGAATGGCACCTTTGAAATCCAGAAATGAGTTGCTTTGATACTGTGTTTGGAGCAGTATCCATGTTTAAAGTCACAGAAAGAGATTCTGTCTCTCCCCAGGTCCCCTGCAGTTTAAGCCTTCTATGCGTGTGCAGTATGGTCACCATCATACAGCTCTGTACAGCTTTGAAGCTGCCTGGTTTACAGCCAGGAGTATTTATTTGGCCTAAATCGCAGAAATCTATTTTCCTGGCTCCAAATTAGAGACCAGTTTTGGATGATTACTTCTAGTGCTGATTTAGATACGCAGGTATATGTGAAATCAGACAAAGTTAATACCTAATAACTTTTTTTTCTAAATGCAGGTTAATCTGGGTCCATGAAACAAGTTTTTTCAAACAAAAATGACAAGAGTTACATGCCTTTCAGTGTGTTTTATTGTCATCTTAGCTCATTCTGATCATACAAGTTTTTAGAGCAACAGAAAGCTACTGCTGACAGTCCTGGGTTCAGCAGTAGCAGTCATGTTTCTCCTTTGTGGTAGCTGGTGCAGTGCTGTGTTTTGATTTCCAGCCTGGGAACAGTGTTGGTGAAGCCAATGTTTTCTGTTGTTGCTAAGTGATGTTTACCCTGACCAAGGACTCTGTGAGGCTCATGCTCTGCCAGGGAGGAGGGGAAGCCAGGAGGAAGCAGAGACGGGACACCTGACCCAGGCTAGCCAAAGAGGTATTCCATACCACAGCACGTCATGCCCGGGGTGGGGGGTAACTGGGAGTTACCTGGAAGGACACAGGCTTCCAGGTGGGACTTGTTTCTTGGCCGGTGGTATCGTATTCTCTTCCCTTGTTATTTTCTCTTATCATTGTTGTAGTTGGTAGTAGCGGTGGTGATTTGTGTTGTACATTGGTTGCTGGACTGTTCTTGTCTCAACCCGCAGGAGTTGCACCCTTTCGATCCTCCTCCCCGTTCCTCCGGGAGTGGGGAAGGGGAGAGCCCCGGTGGAGGGGGGGGCCTCGATTGTTGTCAGCCCGGCACCACTCACTGAGAGTGAGTGAACAAGTTACCTGACTGGGTTTAAACCACAACAGTTCTTTTTGGTGCCCAACATGGGGCACGAGGGGTTGAGATAACGACAGATCTGACTGGATTAATAGTAGCTCGTCACAATGCTGATTTATTGGCTCTCAGAGTTGTTCCTCTTGATCTCACACCTTCAGAATGCAGTACATTACTTAGAGCCGGTATTTGCTGTGTTGGTGTTTATCAAGTGTGGGGCTTGGGCTAAGGTTCTTGTCTCACTGTGCTTTATGGCAATGGCTTGTAATACGGGCGGGCTCCAGCAGCAGGGCGGGACGGACGTGGCCGTGGACTTGTACCTGGCCGTCCGGCTGCCCTTCACCGGCCTGGCCCTCGTCCTCGCCTCCGTCTTCGTGAGGCCGCGGGGAGCCGAGGGGGAGCGGCCCCGGGAGCCGGCGGGTGCTGAAGCGGCCCGGGAGAGAGGTCCCGGGGACCAGGCGGCGGGAGCGGGGCCGGAGGCGGTCGGGGAGGGGCGGTCGAGGAGGGGAAGGAGGCGGCTGTCGAGCAGCGGGAGAAGGCTGCGGAGGAGCCGAGCCCCGCGGAGGAGCCGAGCCCCGCGGAGGAGCCGGAGGCCGCAGAGGAGCCGAGCCCTGCAGAGGAGCCGAGCCCCGCGGCCGAGCCCAGCCCCGCGACGGCCGAGAGCATTCCCCGGAAGCCGCCCGCCGAGCCCCAGGAGGATGCAGGAGACCACGCAGCATTTCCCAGCAAGGCAGAGGAGGAAGCGCTGGACTCAGGAAAAGAGAAGCTGGTGGTGGGAGAGCCGGCAAGCACAGCAGCTACACCAGCCCCAGTGACAAGTACAGCAGCATCAACTGAGAGTTCTGAAGGTTTTGAATGGCCTTTGGGTGTCCTTGGGACCTGCCTGCTGATTGTGATGGGGATCAGCATGTTGGCACACACACAGGCTGTGTTCTACCCACAACCATTTTGTCTGATCTCAAAAGTGTGAGATCAAAAGTGCGAAAAGATTTTACCCGTCAACCAGGGGAGCACATCATCACCTGGTTACTCTGATGCTGGGACAATGGGGCCGATGGTCACGAACTAGAAGGTACAGAAGCCAAGCAGCTGGGATCACTTGCTAGAGAAGGAGGAATTGACAAAGCAATTGCAAGAGAGAAAAAGTCCCTCAGCCTTTGGAGGCGGCTCTTGGCAGCTGTGAAAGAAAGGTTTCCGTACAAGGACGATGTTACGAGTCGTTCGGCCAAGTGGACTACTATAGACAAAGGCATCCAGTCTCTGAGGGAATCGGGCATCGTAGAGATGATCTATCACATCAAGCCGAATAACGGGGATACACCTATAGATCCAGATGAAGTTGAATGTACACGACCCATGTGGCGAAAACTTACAGGGAATGCACCGTCATCATATGCTCATTCATTGGCAACAGTAACCTGGAATGACATAGTACCACTAACAGTGGATGAAATGATTCATAAACTCCGAGAGTTCGAAGACAATCTCACCCCTTCCATCATCTCAGCTGTGGAAAAACTGTCCCAGGACCTCAAAACAATTGAGGGACGATCTATCTGATTTATCCAGCTCCTCACGTGTACCAACACACGTCTCAGCTATTAACAAAAGGCGTCCTATTGTTCAAGAGAGGAGATACAGGAGGTATACGCCACGGGGCACCCTATGGTTTTACCTGCTGGATCACGGAGAAGACACGACAAAGTGGGATGGAAAACCTACTTCAGCTTTGGAGGAACGGGTGAGTGAACTGAAGAGGGGAGCAAGGGCCAAGACTGATCGTCCCATGAGAGCTACGGCTTCAGCCTCTGGTGAGCAGTTTCCCAGATGGAATGGAAGAGCTGATTTTACTCCAGCTCCTGTGGTAACGAAGAATAATCCCTTTCACCACGACTTAAGTGTCTAATGCTGTGACGACCATTAGAGGGGCCCTGCCTCCAGCCAGGTGGAGGTAGGGGACAATCGGATTTACTGGACTGTGTGGATCAGATGGCCTGGCACATCAGTCCCACAGAAGTATAAGGCTCTAGTAGATACCGGTGCACAGTGTACCCTGATGCCATCAAGCTGTCAAGGGGTGGAATCCATCTGTATTTCTGGAGTGACAGGAGGATCCCAAGAGTTGACTGTGCTGGAGGCTGAAATCAGCCTGACTGGGAGGGAATGGCAAAAGCACCCTATTGTGACTGGTCCAGAGGCTCCATGCATCCTCGGCATAGACTACCTCAAGAGAGGGTACTTCAAAGACCCAAAAGGGTACCAATGGGCTTTTGGTATTGCTGCTTTGGAGACTGAGGAAATTGAGCAGCTGTCCACCTTGCCTCGTCTCTCAGAGGATCCTTCTCTTGTGGGGTTGCTGAAAGTCAAAGAACAGCAAGTGTCAGTTGCGACCACAACAGTGCACCGGCGGCAGTATCACACCAACCGAGACTCCCTGATTCCCATCCATCAGCTTATCCGTAGACTGGAGAGTCAAGGAGTGATCAGCAGGACCCCCTCGCCCTTTAATAGCCCCATATGGCCAGTGCGAAAGTCTAATGGAGAACGGAGACTAACAGTAGACTATCGTGGCCTGAATGAAGTCACACCACCATTGAGTGCTGCCGTACCGGACATGCTAGAACTTCAGTATGAACTAGAGTCAAAGGCAGCCAAGTGGTATGCCACGACTGATATTGCCAATGCATTTTTCTCAATCCCTTTGGCAGCAGAGTGCAGGCCACAGTTTGCTTTTACTTGGAGGGGTGTCCAGTTCACTTGGAACCGATGTCCCAGGGGTGGAAACACAGCCCTACCATTTGTCACGGACTGATCCAGACTGCACTGGAACAGGTGCAAGCTCCAGAACACCTGCAATACATTGATGACATTATTGTGTGGGGTGATACAGCGGAAGAAGTCTTTCAGAAAGGGAGGAAAATAATCCAAATCCTGCTGAAAGCCGGTTTTGCCATAAAACGGAGTAAGGTCAAGGGACCTGCACAGGAGATTCAATTTTTGGGAATAAAATGGCAAGATGGACGTAGACAGATCCCCACAGATGTGATCAACAAGATAACAACGTCTCCACCAACTAATAAGAAAGAAACACAAGCTTTCTTGGGTGCTGTGGGGTTCTGGAGAATGCACATCCCAAATTACAGTTTGATTGTAAGCCCTCTCTATCATGTGACCCGGAAGAAGAATGATTTTAAATGGGGCCCTGAGCAACAACAAGCCTTTGAGCAAATTAAACGCGAGATAGTTCATGCAGTGGCCCTTGGACCAGTCCGGACCGGACCAGATGTAAAAAATGTACTGTACACTGCAGCTGGGGAGAACGGTCCTACCTGAAGCCTCTGGCAGAAAGCTCCAGGGGAGACTCGAGGTCGACCCCTCGGCTTTTGGAGTCGGGGATATAAAGGATCTGAGGCCAGCTATACCCCAACTGAGAAAGAGATACTGGCAGCCTATGAAGGGATTCGAGCTGCTTCGGAAGTGATTGGCACTGAAGCACAGCTCCTCCTGGCACCCCGGTTGCCCGTGCTGGGCTGGATGTTCAAAGGCAGGGTCTCCTCTACACATCATGCAACTGATGCTACATGGAGTAAATGGGCTGCACTAATTACACAATGAACTTGAATAGGAAATCTCAGTCATCCAGGCATTCTAGAAGTCATCATGGACTGGCCAGAGGGCAAAGATTTCGGAATGTCACCAGAGGAGGAGGCGGTGCGTGCTGAAGAGGCCCCACCATATAATAAACTGTCAGAAAGTGAAAAGCAGTATGCCTTGTTTACTGATGGGTCCTGCCATATTGTGGGAAAGCATCGGAGATAGAAGGCAGCTGGTGGCTGGAAACATACGCTGTGCCTCATGCCACTGCCCGGAACACTATCCTGGGCCTTGAGAAACAGATTTTGTGGCGACACGGCACCCCAGAGAGAATTGAGTCAGACAATGGGACTCATTTCCGGAATAACCTTATAGATATTTGGGCCAAAGAGCATGGCATTGAGTGGGTATATCACATCCCCTACCATGCACCAGCCTCTGGGAAAATCGAACGGTACAATGGGCTGTTAAAAACTACACTGAGAGCAATGGGTGGGGGAACTTTCAAGCATTGGGATACACACTTACCAAAGGCCACCTGGTTGGTCAACACCAGAGGATCTGCCAACAGGGCTGGCCCAGCCCAGTCAGAACTTTTACATATTGTAGAGGGGGACAAAGTTCCCGTGGTGCATATGAAGAATTTGCTGGGGAAGACAGTCTGGGTTATTCCTGCTTCAGGTAAAGGCAAACCCACTCGTGGGATTGCTTTTGCTCAGGGACCTGGATATACTTGGTGGGTAATGCGGGAAGATGGGGAAGTCCGATGTATACCTCAAGGGGATTTGATTTTAGGGGAAAAGAGCCAGTGAACTCAACTGTATGCTGTTGCCTGCTGTGTAATACTTTTATAGCCCATCAACTAGATGTCTTCAGGTCACCAGCGACTGGCCCTGACTTCCCTCCAACCATCATCCCAACAGAGAATGAACTTTGATAGAACCAGATGAGTTCCACAGTAAAGGAATGACCAGCAGCAGGCAACGATCCAATACTGCACACAGCCTTTCCTGCCCTGAAAGATTGTTACAAGAGATGGAACCTGACATCATGGACAGAATGGACTCGGCAGCATTATAGGGATTGGTCCATGCACTAAGAAAATGATCTTTTCCTCTTGGTCTATATGTATATGAATGTATATATGTGGGAGAGCGATGGTGCATTGAAAATGTGGGATCTGAGCACGACATGAATGGTATGGAATAAGGGGTGGATAATGTCCTGGGTTCAGCAGTAGCAGTCATGTTTCTCCTTTGGGGTAGCTGGTGCAGTGCTGTGTTTTGACTTCCAGCCTGGGAACAGTGTTGGTGAAGCCGATGTTTTCGGTTGTTGCTAAGTGATGTTTACCCTGACCAAGGACTTTGTGAGGCTCATGCTCTGCCAGGGAGGAGGGGAAGCCGTGAGAAAGCAGAGACGGGGCGCCTGACCCAGGCTAGCCAGGGAGGTATTCCATACCACAGCACGTCATGGCCGGGGTGGGGGGTAACTGGGAGTTACCCGGAAGGACACAAGCTTCCGGGTGGGACTCGTTTCTTGTCCGGTGGTATCGTATTCTCTTCCCTTGTTATTTTCTCTTATCAGTGTTGTCGTCGGTGGTAGCGGTGGTGATTTGTGTTGTACATTGGTTGCTGGACTGTTCTTGTCTCAACCCGTGGGAGTTGCACTCTTTCGATCCTCCTCCCAGTTCCTCCGGGAGCAGGGAAGGGGAGACCCCGGGGGGGGGGGGGGGGGCGGCCCTCGATTGTCAGCCTGGCACCACTCACTGGGAGTGAGTGAACAAGTTACCTGACTGGGTTTAAACCACGACACTGACAAACAACTCTCTCAAACGCAGTCAGTAAGAAGTTATATTGTTGCCTGGAGTAAACACACTGTCAGGCATTATTAAAATAAGTTACTAGACTACTAAAGTTTGCCAAATTATAGAATGAATGGTAATGGAAAGTATTACTAAAGGTAACTTAATCTTAATTAACAATGAATGTAATCTCATTTAGTTGTTTTCTTCCACCTTTCGACTACTGGGACACACGATTTCCTTATCCGTGGACCCTCTAAGGAGCTAACTGTTCACCTAGATGATTTCACAACCCTACACAACATGCAACAGCAGCAGTAGAGCGTTTAGAAGCCTCTTCTAATAATACTCAAGAAAGCTGGAGAATCTTCAAGGCCTGGCTTTGAGCAATATGGTCTAGTGGAAGGTGTCCCTGCCTGCTGGGGTGGAACTGGATGAGCTTTAAGATCCCTTCCAACTCAAACCAATCTACTCGAGATTTACCCGAGACCTAGATCTCTAAAACTGAATACATACGATACTTTACACAGAGCAGTCCAAGACATCAAATCCCATGTCTGTGCCTTCTCGGCAGCTAGTCAGACATGACTACAGTCACAGTATCACAGTATCACAGTATGCTGGAGATTGGAAGGGACCTCAAAAGATCATCTAGTCCAATCCCCCTGCCAGAGCAGGAACACCTAGATAACGTTACACAGGAATGTGTCCAGGCGGGCTTTGAATGTCTCCAGGGAAGGAGACTCCACAACCTCCCTGGGCAGCCTGTTCCAGTGTTCCGTCACCCTCACTGAGAAGAAGTTCCTTCTCAAGTTTAAGTGGAACCTCTTGTGTTCCAGTTTGCACCCATTACCCCTTGTCCTATCATTGTTTGCCACTGAGTAGAGCCTGGCTCCATCCTCGTGACACTCCCCCTTTATATATTTATAGACACTTATAAGGTCACCCCTCAGTCTCCTCTTCTCTAAACTATAAAGACCCAGCTCCCTCAGTCTTTCCTCATAAGGGAGATGCTCCACTCCCTTAATCATCTTGGTTGCCCTGCGCTGGACTCTCTCCAGCAGCTCCCTGTCCTTCTTGAACTGAGGGGCCCAGAACTGGACACAATATTCCAGATGGGGTCTCACCAGGGCAGAGTAGAGGGGAAGGAGGACCTCTCTCGACCTACTAACCACCGCCCTTCTAATACACCCCAGGATGCCATTGGCCTTCTTAGCCACAAGGGCACAGTGTTGGCTCATGGTCATCCTGTCGTCCACTAGGACCCCCAGGTCCCTCTCCCCTACACTGCTCTCTAGCAGGTCGTTCCCCAACCTATACTGGAACCTGGGGTTGTTCCTGCCCAGATGCAGGACTCTACACTTTCCCTTGTTATATTTCATCCCGTTATTCCCTGCCCAACTCTCCAGCCTGTCCAGGTCTCGCTGGATGGCAGCACAGCCTTCTGGCGTGTCAGCCACTCCTCCCAGCTTAGTGTCATCAGCAAACTTGCTGATAGTACACTCAATTCCCTCATCTAAATCATTGATGAATATATTAAATAATACTGGTCCCAGTACTGACCCTTGAGGCACTCCACTAGTTACAGGCCTCCAACTAGACTCAGCCCCATAGACTACAACTCTCTGGCTTCTCTCCTTCAGCCAGTTCGCAGTCCACCTCACTACCTGGTCATCCAGTCCACACTTCCTCAATTTAGCCGTGAGGATGCTGTGAGAGACTGTGTCAAAGGCTTTGCTGAAGTCAAGGTAGACCACATCCACCGCTCTGCCATCATCCATCCACCGTGTTATTTCCTCATAAAAGGCTAAGAGATTGGTCAAACATGATTTCCCCCTGGTGAAGCCATGTTGACTGCCCCTCATAACCCTCTTATCCTTGATATGCTTTAAGATGGCACCAAGGACAAGGTGTTCCATCACTTTCCCAGGGATGGAGGTGAGGCTGACCGGTCTATAGTTACCCGGGTCCTCCTTCTTGCCCTTTTTGAAGACCGGAGTGACATTTGCCTTCCTCCAGTCCTCAGGCACCTCTCCCGTTTCCCAAGACTTGGTAAAGATGATGGCGAGTGGTCTAGCAATGACTTCCGCCAGTTCCCTCAGCACCCGCGGGTGCATCCCATCTGGACCCATGGATTTATGGACGTCCAGATTGCTCAACTGATCTCTAACCCATTCCTCATCGACTAAGGCAAGTCGCTCCGTCGACCTGACTTCATCTAAGGTCTCAGGGGTATAGGGCTCTTCAGGACTGCCTGCAGCAGAGTAGACAGAGACAAAGAAGGCATTCAGTAACTCTGCCATCTCTGCATCTTCTGTCACCAGGGCACCCATCCCGTTCATCAGTGGGCCTACATTGCCTCTGGTGTTAGTTTTGTCTGCCATGTACCTGAAAAAGCTCTTTTTGCTGTCCTTGACCCTTCCTGCCAGGTTTAATTCTAAGGAAGCCTTAGTCCTCCTAGCTGCCTTCCTACATCCCCTAGCAGCAGCCTTATATTCCTCCCAAGTGGCCAGCCCCTCCTTCCATGACCTGTAAACTCTCCTCTTCCACTTGAGCATACCCAGCAATTCCCTATTTAGCCACACAGGTCTCTTGGCCCTCTTCCTTGACTTCCTACGTGTCGGGATGCTCCGATCTTGAGCACGGAAAAAGCAGTCCTTGAATGTCAACCAACTATCTTGGGCCCCTTTTCCTTCAAGCAGCCTTGCCCATGGGATTTTCCCTAGCAATTGCTTGAAAAGGCCAAAGTTTGCCCTGCTAAAGTCCAGGGTTGCAATTCTACTTGGTATCCTACTAGTCCTACCACACAAGATCCTGAACTTCACCATCTCGTGGTCGCTGCAACCAAGGCAGCCCTCTACCCTTACTGCTTCAACCAGACCCTCCTTGTTAGTGAGGATGAGATCCAGCAGCGCTCCTCTCCTGGTCGGCTCATCCACCATTTGCAGGAGGAAGTTATCATCCACACACTGGAGGCCTGGTCCCTACCTTTATTCATATCTTGTCTTAAAGTAAAAATATTTATAGATAATTTGAGGAATTACAAGTTTAAAAAACGAAAGCTGAAATGAAAGCTTAGGCCACAGATCCCATTTTTAATATGTGAGTACAGTTATCACAAAATGTCAGGAACTATTCAGACAGTAAAAACTAAAATACAGTCATGAAAAATATCTGAAACTCACAATGATCCTTATTCTTGTATGAGTGGTCTTATTGCTATTGCTACATTTATCATTTTGAAGTTTCATTAAATAGGTCTATTAAAAAAGACAAACCAAACCAAACCAAACAAACCAAAAAAAAAATACAAACAAAAAGCCCACAACCAGCCAACCAAAAAAAAAAAAAAAATTACAATTTCCGTAAAGCTCAGATATACATCAGACACCCTTTCAAGAATTGCATCAGGAGTGCCAGTACTGTCTTGACATTAATGAGCATGTGTCATCTGGAGTTAGCTGCATTATGATCACTACTACTGTACATGATGGTGTGTTAGCAGGAGGGGGAGCATCCATTATGAGGCAAGCTATCCAATAGCGCTATCCAGCGTGAGAGGAGACTTGATGACGCTTTCCTGTCTTTCCCTGTCAGAACTTCTTCCATGCTCTGATGTTTGCCAGAAGGGCATAGAGCACACTCTTCAGTTGCTACTGCACAAACAGAATGGTGAAAGCCATCACGACACAGCTGACAGCCACGTATGGGCTCTTCCGTTCACCTGAAAGAAAAAATACCAAACCAAACCAAAACTTGGGCATGACCAAGCATATCTAGGCAGCTCCTAGCCTAACACACTAATTAATCCCATTGCAACTGCAAATTAATATTCAACATTTCTAGCTGGAAGAAATGCTATTACAACTACAGATGTGTAACTGTAGAACATGCATGGGGGTGGAAAAACTAAGATGTAGGACAGGATATATTTCATTTTAAATACAGACTGGGAGGTGTTTGCTTTAAGCAAAGGTTGACGCTAGGACTTCTATCTTACTACAAACCATTTTTTCTGAGATGCCGTTTCCAGAATATATTAAAAGCAAAAAACAATATATTGCTGCTGTTTCTTAGTGACAGAGTAAGAAGGCAGGCACTGGAAACCTGATCAAGACATCAAACCTTTCACTGGCTCTCTTCTCAATTCTGGCTAAAGGCTATAGCTGCTCAAAAGCTGTTGTGCCTTAGCTGAGGTGTACCTCAACGCTCTCTAGCCACAACAGCTGCTATATGCAGTGTGCATCCCTGTCCTGGGTTCAGCAGTAGCAGTCATGTTTCTCCTTTGGGGTAGCTGGTGCAGTGCTGTGTTTTGACTTCCAGCCTGGGAACAGTGTTGGTGAAGCCGATGTTTTCGGTTGTTGCTAAGTGATGTTTACCCTGACCAAGGACTTTGTGAGGCTCATGCTCTGCCAGGGAGGAGGGGAAGCCAGGAGGAAGCAGAGACGGGACACCTGACCCAGGCTAGCCAGGGAGGTATTCCATACCACAGCACGTCATGGCCGGGGTGGGGGGTAACTGGGAGTTACCCGAAAGGACACAGGCTTCCGGGTGGGACTTGTTTCTTGGCCGGTGGTATCGTATTCTCTTCCCTTGTTATTTTCTCTTATCAGTGTTGTCGTCGGTGGTAGTGGTGGTGATTTGTGTTGTACATTGGTTGCTGGACTGTTCTTGTCTTAACCCATAGGAGTTGCACCCTTTCGATCCTCCTCCCAGTTCCTCCGGAAGCAGGGAAGGGGAGAGCCCCGGGGCGGGGGGGGGGGGGAGCCTTGATTGTTGTCAGCCCGGCACCACTCACTGGGAGTGAGTGAACAAGTTGCCTGACTGGGTTTAAACCACGACAATCCCCTATGCATGGTATCATATAGGAGCCAGCTAACTGTCTGGGGAGCTCACAGCTGCACAGACATGGCCAGATGCCTGTCTTATTTCTCTGCTAGAGAGACATAACATTGCCAGCATGTGGTCCAGAGATTTTCAGATTAATGATAAAAATGGTCAACAGATTCCATAAGTTGCACAGACACCTCTATTTTCTGACTCTTTCAAATGAGTGTCACGGTTTCCAGGGGCAGAATGGATGAAAGTTAAATTTACTCCATTAATAGACTTGTATTTGGTGGCAAAGGCACTCAGGAAATGTATATTCCCACCCATTTGGTCCAGAACAAAAAGGCTACAAAGTTCTCTTGTTCTGCAAATAAACTACGAAAAATAAAAAAAATCTTAGGTAGGCAACTCAAACACAATAAGGGGGAATATTAGTATTGTTAATCAGACTGCTGCCTATTTACATCGGCAGTTCCTTTATTCAATTATCCAGGTGTTTTTACTCTCCTACTTTATGCTTTTATATATCCCTAGAAGTGCTCAAGGCCAGGCTGGGCAGGGCTTGAAGCACTCTGATCTAGTGTCTAGTGGAAGGTGTCCTGCCTGTGGCAGGGGGCTGGAACTGGATGAGCTTTAAGGTCCCTTCCACCCAAACCAGGCTGGGATTCTATGATACTTAAGCATTACTCTTCTTTAAACCACTGACTTCTCTCTGGAGAGCAAAATCCCCTGCACTGGTACTTCCAGTCTACAAAACAAG